CCCCCCCTTACTGCTCTGTAACAATCAACTTGTACTTCTTAATCCCTTCACCTTTTTCACCCATCCCCCCAAACCCCGTACCATCTGGCAAATGTTAAAATGTTCTCTGTATCTATGAGTCTGTTTCTGTTCTGTTTCTTAATTTATTTTGTTTTTCAGATTCATTTATTGATAGGTATGTATTTATTACCATTTTATTGTTCATGTTTTTTTTTTCTTTTTAAAGAAGACCCTTTAACATTTCATGTAATATTGGTTTGGTGGTCATAAACTCCTTTAGCTTTTCCTTGTCTGGGAAGCTATTTGTCCTATTATAAATGATAGCTTTGCTGGGTAGAGTAGTCTTGGTTGTAGGTCCTTGCTTTTCATCACTTTGAATATTTCTTGCCACTCCCTTCTGGCTTGCAAAGTTTGTTGAGAAATTAGCTGACAGTCTTATGGGAGCTCCCTTGTAGGTCACTAATTGCTTTTCTCTTGCAGCTTTTAAGAGTCTCTCTTTATCTTTAATCTTTTGCATTTTATTTTAAAAAAATTTTTATTATTTAGAGGGAGGAAGGGAGAGAGGGAGAAACATTGATGTGAGAGAGAAACATTGATTGGGTGCCTCCTGCACATGCCCTGACTGGGGATCGAACCCACAACCTGGGTATGTGCCCTGACTGTAATCAAACGTGTCACCTTTTGGTGTGCAAGATGACACTCCAACCAACTGAGTCACACTGGCCGGGGCTTAACTTTTTGCATTTTAATTATGGTGTGTCTTGTGTGGGCCTCTTTGGGTTCATCTTGTTTGGGACTCTCTGTGCTTCCTGGACTTGTATGTCTATTTCCTTCACCAGGTTAGGGAAGTTTTCCATTATTATTTTTTAAAATAGGTTTTCAGTTTCTTGCTGTTTCTCCTCTCCTTCTGGCATCCCCATGATGGGAATGTTGGTACACTTGAAGTCCCAGAGGCTCCTTACACTATCCTAATTTTTTTTGGATTTTCTTTTTGCTGTAATGATCTGATTGGGTGTTTTTTGCTTCCTTATATTTCAAATCCCT